GGGCGGGGCTGGGTGTGGGGGATCTGACTCAGTTACCCCTCTCGGTGGAGGGCGCCTTGACTTTGTCCCTCCTGGGTGGAAGTGCGGGTGAATCTTGCCTCTGTTTCCTCGGCGCCCCCCTCCCTCTCCGGTGTCGATGCGATTAGTTTTGGCTTCCTTTCCTTGTAAGGAAGAAAGTATCTGACTCAGTTTCCCCGAAGAGAAGAGGGAGGTAGTGTCTTTCCTTAGTGTCCCTTATGAACGCAAAACTGGCCTTGACTCAGTTTCCCCGGGCAGAGGAATGCCTCCATGCCCCTTTTCTCTCGTAGAGAGATGCTGCTGCCTTCTTGGCCCTGCCTCGTTCAGGGCAGGTTGTGAAGTCTTGACTCAGTTTCCTTGGGAGGGAGCTTGTTTCTATCGTCCCTTCCCTGGTGAGGATGGGCAGTGAGTGGAGTTTACTGACAATGTCTTTCCTTTTTAGATCTATTTCCCATCATCTTCCCCTCAGGTAAGTGGACCATCCTTCCTCAGTGGGTAGGGCTGTCCTGGAGTAGGGGCCATGGGGGCAGCACTTGATGGCTGGCTGTGTCACCTAGAGCCAACCCAGGCTTCTGGGCCTTATGTGGAGATCATCGAGCAGCCCAAACAACGGGGCATGCGTTTCCGCTACAAGTGTGAGGGTCGCTCAGCAGGCAGTATTCCGGGTGAGAGAAGCACAGATACCACCAAGACACACCCCACCATCAAGGTAGGCACCAGCTCCCAGGGGTTGGGAACTGATGTGGTGAGAGGCACTTGGAGCCCCAGCAGACCTGCCTCCTTGCCACCGTGCCCTGTGTCTAGGAGCCAGGTTTGGGATTGCTGGCCCCTAGAGTACTCTGTACTTTGGACAGATCAATGGCTACACGGGACCAGGAACAGTTCGAATCTCCCTGGTCACCAAGGACCCACCTCACCGGCCTCATCCACATGAACTTGTGGGGAAAGACTGCCGGGATGGTTTCTATGAGGCTGAACTCTGCCCAGACCGCTGCATCCACAGGTGAGCTCTTTACAGGCCGGGGTAGAGTGAGGTCAGTGGATAGGAGGCAGGGTAGGAGCAGACAAGGCCAGGTGGCTGTTAACAGTGTTACCCCTTTCTAGACACAGGCAGAATTCTGAGTCCTTGCTCTGTACCCAGCTCTGCAAACAGACCTTCTTTGTCTTAAATTCTCTGACAGACAGGAACTCCACGGGATAAGGATCACCTTATCACCTTGGAGCCACAGACACTTGTGGCTGAACAGGCCAGTCTCTTAGTGTCTCTCATATGAGAAAGATATCCATAATGGACTCTCCTGGAACATAAACACCAGCTGACAAAATCAGGCAATAAATAACTGTACGAACAGATAGACAAGATACCACTTGAGAATAGTAATTTCTATGATGAAAAGAAAGCACAGTAGCAAATTGGAAGGATGAAGAGGAGGCTAGCCTCATTGCTTGGAGACAGAGTCTCATATAGCCCAAGCTGGCCTTGAACTCATTAGGATTCATCTGGCTCTTCCTGTCAACTCCGAGGATAACAGGCATGTACCACCATGTCCTGATACGGGTCTCATGACTTTGGGTTGAAAGGTTACAGAAGGCCTGTCTGCTAACGCTTAAGTGATGAGGAAAGGCAGACAAGTCTAAAAGTATATTCCATGCTCAAGAAAGAAGTCCAGTGACCTTGAAGAGGGAATAAATTTAGTGGGCTTAGGAATGGCTAAGGGTGGGACGCTGGCTTGGAGGCTTGCTTTGGCTAGATTCCACAGAGGCTTGCTGACGGGCAAGGAGGGAGTTTCATTGCAGCCCAGTGGAATAGACTTGGGAGTGGGAGGCAGGAACGGGCTTTGCTGCAGACACAAAACTGATGCCTGAGACACCACAGCTTTCAGAACCTGGGGATCCAGTGTGTGAAGAAGCGAGACCTGGAGCAAGCCATCAGCCAGCGCATCCAGACCAACAACAACCCCTTTCAAGGTAGGAGCAAGGGGCAAAGACATAGCCTACCTGTGGCGTCCACATCTCCATCACTTCCCCGGGCCTCTGCAGTCCCCTCCCTCCATGACCAGGCAAACAGTCTAAGTGGAACCTGCTAGCTTGGTACACTCACATTACCATCCAGAGTCAGGCCTAGAGAGGGATCACGTCTTCCATGTTGCAGTAGAGCCAGTGATGAGTCTAGAATTTTGTCTTCCTCCCTGAGACTTCTGTTGTGCTTGTCTCCCTTCGCTCAGAGCTCCCTGCCCTCCGTGACTCCCCTCATCCCTCTGTTTTTCTGACAGTTCCTATAGAGGAGCAGCGTGGGGACTATGACCTGAATGCAGTGCGCCTCTGCTTCCAGGTGACGGTGCGGGACCCATCAGGCAGGCCCCTCCGCCTGACTCCTGTCCTCTCTCATCCTATTTTTGATAACCGTGAGTGGCCGCCTCTAGTAAGGGGAAAGGGAGAGTCTGGAAGAGAAAGGGGGCTGGAGTGGGTGTGACCTGTGAAGAGCGCTCTGGTTCCCTTTAGTCCTCCAGTTATGCTGGCAGGGGACAGGGCAGAAAGGACCCAGAGCTGCCCTCAATTGGAAGCTTCCAGGATGCCCAGCAGCCTGATGGGAAGTGGCTGTTTTCCATATCTTGTGTAGAGATGCTGGTCTGCCAGGAACTGTGCTCATGACTTTAGGAAGCAAACTCCCAGGAACCAGATAATGCTAGGCAGTGATAATTCCACAGTAGCAGCTCACAGGAAGCTCTCAGATGACCTGGGCTGACACTGATGGATTAGTAAGCAGCAGGGCAATTGAAAATAAAAGGCCTTTGGAGCCCCAAGGACCGGAAACCAGGATTAACTGGGAGTGAGGAGGGAAAGACTCATTGCCAAGGGTAGAGATGAACCAAAAGCTGAAAATGTGTTTGATCAGGCAGAGGGAGACAAGGTGTCAGATTGTTTCCTTTGGGCTGTAAGGTCTGTGAGGACAGGAATACGTTGGGCTCTTTGTTGCTCTGCTGCCTTTTCTAGAGCCATGCTCCACACACACAGCAGGAGGTGTTTTTGAATTGGTTGAGGTGAAGAGCAGATGGGATTAGTCTGCAGAAGTGTTGTCAGCAAGCTGTGGAAGGAAGACCTTGACATGGGACTTGCCAGGCATCGCTGTTACATCTCCTGTCGGGTGCCCTGGAGACCTGTGGTGGCTCAGGGTTTCCATCCATGTCACATCCTCAGGTGCACCCAACACTGCTGAGCTCAAGATCTGCCGAGTAAACCGGAACTCCGGGAGCTGCCTTGGTGGGGATGAGATCTTCTTGCTGTGTGACAAAGTGCAGAAAGGTACACACTGGGCTATGTGTGCCACGAGGGGCGGGGTGAGGCTGAGAGGGTGATGAGTGCCAGGGACCTCAGTGGCTTCAGGAGAAACAGGGTGACGTCTCAGGGGAAAAGCATCAGGAGTTGGGGACCAAGGTCCATTGGAATTCAGATACTAACCCTTACTACTCTGTCTCCTGCAGAAGACATTGAGGTGTATTTCACTGGACCAGGCTGGGAAGCACGAGGCTCCTTTTCTCAAGCTGATGTGCACCGGCAAGTGGCTATTGTGTTCCGGACTCCTCCATACGCTGACCCCAGCCTGCAGGCTCCTGTGCGTGTCTCCATGCAGCTTCGGCGGCCTTCTGATCGGGAGCTCAGTGAGCCCATGGAGTTCCAGTACCTGCCAGACACAGGTGTGATGCTAGGGAGAGCAGTACCAAGGCTTCTGTACCCCAGCTGGGAAAAAGACCAGGATGTCTGGGACAAGCACATAGGATTTATACATACTGTAGTTCATTGCACATAGTATTTCTGTCAAAGACCACATATGCCATGGTGGTCATATAACACTGCGCTATCTAGCTGGGCAGTGGTGGCTCACCCTTAATCCCAGCTCTCAGAAGGCAGAGGGAAATGAATCTATGAGTTCGAGCCCAGCCTGGTCTATAGAGCTAGCTCCAGAATAGCCAAGGCTACACAGAGAAACTCTGACCTGGGGGAGGGGGGTGAGGAACTACACTGTCTAATGACATAGGTGTCTTAGTTTGTGTAAGTATCCTTTGAGATGCTCATATAAACAAAGAGAGAGAGAGAGAGAGAGAGAGAGAGAGAGAGAGAGAGCGAGAGAGAGAGAGAGAGAGAGAGCGAGAGAGAGAGAGAGAGAGAGAGCGAGAGAGAGAGAGAGAGAGAGAGAAAACCAGGGCTGGAGAGGTGTCTCAGAGGTTAAGGGCACTCTTTGCTCTTCCAGAGGTCCTGAGTTCAATTCCCAGCACCCACACACATGGTTGCTCACAATCATCTATAGTTGGATCTGGTGCCCTCTTCTGGCATAGGTCCTATGTGCAGATATAGCACTCATATTCATAAAATAAATCTTTAAATTTCAAGAAAAATAAAAAAAAAGGTAAAACCAGCACCTGGGAGGCAGAGGCTAGCAGATGGATCTCTGTGAGTTCTAGGCCAGCCTGGTCTACAAAGTGAGTGCCAGGATAGGCTCCAAAGCTACACAGAGAAACACTGTCTTGAAAAACAAAACAAACCAAACAAAAAAGATGAAAAAGATGCTCATATAATAAGCTGGGTACTCCAGCAAACGTGTGTAGCTAGCGTGCAGATGGTGTGGAAATAGACGGACCTCTAGAGCTATTTGGCCAGCCAGCCTTGCTCCAGATTCAGTGAGAGGTACTGTCTCAAAAAATGAAGTGGGCTGGACATGGCAGTGCACACCTTTAATCCCAGCACTTGGGAGGCAAAGACAGGCAGATCTCTGTGAGTTCAAGGCCAGCCTGGTCTACCTTACAAGTTCCAGACCAGCCAGGGCTATATAGTGAGATCTTATCTCAAATAATTAAGGTGGATGGGGCTGGAAAGATGGCTCAGTGGTTAAGAGCACTTGCTGTTCTTCCAGAGAACCCAGGCTTCATTCCCAGCACCCTGTCTAGTTCCACGGGATCTGACACTATTCTGAACTCTGCAGGCACTGGGCATGTACAAGGTGCTCACACATATAAGCAGGCATTGAGCCTTGGCTTTGACATACTCATACACACATCTGTACACACATGCATGCACATTCATACACCTACATGAACACACACACACAGACACACACACAGAGGTAATAATAAAATAGATATTCATCCAATGACAAATTTGCCTAGCAACATGTCTTAAGATGTGTCCCCATTGTTTTTTTTTTTTGAGGGGGGTGTTTGAGACAGGGTTTCTCTGTGGCTTTGGAGGCTGTCCTGGAACTAGCACTTGTAGACTAGGCTGGTCGCGAACTCAGAGATCCACCTGCCTCTGCCTCCTGAGTGCTGGGATTAGAGGCGTGCGCCGCCGCCACCACCACTGCCAGGCTGTGCCCCCATTGTCAAGCAACATATAATTATAGTCATAATCTATTTCTTCCCTAACTCTGACATCCAACTTATTCAGCTCTGTCTACTGTATCTACCCTTGCTATGAGTGGTCCTTTTAACCTCTCATCGCCTTTTTTGTTTTTGTTTTTGTTTTTGTTTTTGTTTTTGAGACAGTGTTTCTGCTCTGAAGACCAGGCTGGCCTCACAGAGATCCGCCTGCCTCTGCCTCCCGAGTGCTGGGATTAAAGGCCTGTGCCACCAATGCCTGGCGTCTCATCACCTTTTTAGGGGAATGATTTAACAGAATTCACTAGCAGTAGAGGCAGTGGCACACCTAAACCAAGGTCACTTAGCTTTGTGGACTTTGTGCCACCTTGTGTCTCTTATCACTTTTGGGGGACCAAAATAGTTCCATTATAGAATGTTTTGAGGTCCAGCCTCTGGTTTCACGGAAAGCTCCGGCCCACTATTGTATTGCTAATGCTAGCAGGTCTGCTATTGTTTACAATAGCCTCAGTATAGAATGCCTCCTAGTTTGCATCTCTATGGGCCTAAGCATCTGAATAGGCCTGCATCTGGGCCTAGGTGCTAGGTGTAAGGTACAAGTGAGGACAGACAGGAGCCATCCGACCAGAGAGGAGAACAGAAGGACAGCAGTGGTCTCCTCGTGGCCATGGAAGCATGGTTAAGAAACAGCCAAAAAGATGGTAAATAGAGAAGAGACTCCAGTTTTACAACATGGAACTGAGAGCTCTCTAAAGATGACAAGATGCCTGTGTTTGGTCTTTATCGAGGCTGGGTTTCAAGGAGTTTCCAGGTCCACACATCCCCACTCAGGCCGAACCTCATGGCTTAAGGCTGAGACATGCCAGGTCACCACAGTCACTAATCCTATAACCCAGCTTCATTTTGCTCAAGGATTAGTGCTATACATAACAAAACAAATGAGACAGGAGCTGGAGAGATGGTTCAGTGGTTAAGAGTACTGCTTTTCCAGTGGACCCAAGTTTAATTTTCAGCACCTAAATGGAAGCCCACAACCATATGTAACTCCAGGCCCGTGGCTTCCGAGGGCACCAGGCATGCACATGGTGCATAGACATACACCCATACACACATAAATAACTAAACCGGGGGAGGGGTTGTTTTTTGTTTTTTCAAGGCAGGGTTTCTCTGTGTTGCTCTGTCCTGGCACTTGCTCTGTAGAGATCCACCTGCCTCTGCCTCCCTAGTGCTGGGATTAAAGGTGTGCACCACCATGCCTGACTGCTTTGTTTTAATGAGACAGATTCTCTGCTGTTGACAAGCTCAGTCCATTGACAGGCAGATATGCAGATGACATGCCTAATTGGGGATATGTTGGGAACGGTAAAAAGTGCAGGTGTAGGGAGCTGAACATGGGGATGGCATTTACCTGGGAGAAAGACCTGCAGTGTGTTCTTCAGTTCGGGGACATCGGTGGTGGGAGAGTTGTCTTTAGGCAGTGAGCAAGCCCAGACAAATTGTGGCCTTGTTAAGCTTAGCTGCCCAGGGTTTCATTCTGAAAGCCCCAGAGAGACTCACTTAAGATTTCTAAGCAGAGACTTGACATGAGCAGAGCTGGAAGCTTAGTCTGGATTCTCTGAGCAGGGTATTAGAGATAGAGACTAGAGACGCTTGGGGTGGGGATGTAGCTCAGTTGATAGAAGGTTGCCTGGCATTCGAGAGAACTTGAATTCAGTCCCACGTATCACTTAAACCAGGCACGGTGTTGCACACTTGTAATCCCGGTCCTGGGGAGGTAGAGGCAGGAGAATCAAAAGTTCAGGGTCATCCTTGACTACATAGTAAGTTTGAGGCCAGCCAAAGCTACATGAGATCTTGTCTTAAAGAAGAAGAGGTGACCAGATGGCTGACATGTGGCACCAAGTATGGTGACCAGAGTTTGAGCCACATGATAAAAGGAGATAATTGACTTTTACAAGTTGTCCTGTGACTTCACACACACACACACACACACACACACACACACACACACACATTAAATGTGATAAATTAGTTTTTTGTTTGTTTGTTTGTTTGAGACAGGGTTTCTTTGTGTAGCCCTGGCTATCCTGGAACTCAGTTTGTAGACCAAGCTGGCCTCGAATTCACAGAGATCCCCCTGCCTCTGCTTCCTGAGTGCTGAGATTAAAGGCATTCACCCTGCCACCCAGCTAAATTTTTAAAATATTTATTTATGTATTTTATATATATGAGTGCTCTATTTGCATGTATGCCTGCATAACAGAAGAGGGCATCAGATCCTATTATAAATGGTTGTGAATCACCATGTGGTTGCTGGGAATTGAATTCAGGACCTCTGGTAGAACAGCCAGTGTTCCTAACCAGAGACTGACTGGCAGTGGTGGTGCATGTCTTTAATCCCAGCACCTGGGAAGCAAACACAGGCAGATCTCTTTAGTTTGAGGCCAGCCTGGTCTACAGATTAAATTCCAGGGCAACTAGGGAGAAGCCCTGTCTTGGGGATGGGGAGCTGAGGCCTTTCAGGGGGTATGACAAGGTGGAAGATCACGTCTCCTATCTCTGTTCTAGGTTACCCTTCAGTACCATGGGCTTTTTGTCTGTGACACACATCAGTCGGCCTCGCCTCAGGATGTGTGTGCTGCTGTGGCCTCTGCTTGGCATGCTTGGCTCTCGAGCACTCACGACTATCGCACACCACCTGTCACCCTGACCACCTCTTGTCAGACCTCCCAACTTCACTTCCAGGGCTGGTCCTTAACCTTGTTCATGTGCATAAGCATCTTTGGCACTCCTAGCTTTTTGTGTTGTTTTCTTTTGAAGCAGAATCTCACTATGCAGTCCTGTCTTCCTTGGAACTTGCTATGTAGACAAGACTAGCCTTGGATTTGCAGAGATCTGTCTACCTCTGAATGTATGTGCCACCACACCTGGAAACACTTGTTTTGTTACATTACTTATTTGTGTGTGTATGCATAGGTGGAGGTGGAGGTCAGAGAACAACCTGCAGGAGTCAGTTTTCTCCTTCCATCATGAGTGTTCTGGAACCTGAACTCGCCTTATCAGCTGGGCCATCTTGCTAGCCCAAAGATTGGACTTGGGGATCCTGGCACATTTTTGAGAATTGAACCTCTAGTGTTTACCCATCCCCAGTGTCTAGGAGAAGAGCCGGCAGAGCAGGTGCTTGGCAAGTTGTGTTGAGTTAGTATTGGTGGACTGAAAGAAAAGATGATGTCCAGGATAATTCCAGTTTCCAGTTTTGGTGCCAGGACAGACAGTGGGAGGCACAGGAAAAAGAACTCGTTTGATATGAAGAGATGGAGTTCACTTTGGAGGAATGGAACTGGGGTGCTCTAGATAGTTCTGAAAGCTTCCGACTAAAGAATCAAGCTTTTAACTGAGCTGAGTCTGTGGCAGTCTTAGGCTAACTCACGATGCTCAGTACACAGTGTTTCCCTCTAAGCCTAGGTGAACAGCACTGGTGAGAGGCGAGCTGCAGGCACTTGTTCCCCAGAGCAGGGCTCCTTGACTTAGCATCTCCCAGGAGTCAAGACTCAGCCAGCAAAGCTGGTTGTGGTAACACATGCCTTGAATCACAGCACTTTGGAGGCAAAGGCAGGCGAATCTCAGTAAGTTTGAAGTCAGCATGGTCTATATAGTGAGTTCCAGGACAGCCAGGGCTATATAATGTGAGTCTGTCTCAAAAAAACAAAGAGGAGGGGGAGATTCATTCAGCCCCTTCTTAGAAAGTCACACATCCCTTCCTAATTGTTGGGAGAGTAGGTCTTGAGAAGATTTGACCTCATTGCCCTCCTGAAGGGTACCTGGGAGAACTGGAGCCCAGCTAAGGAGAGTAAACCCTACCGTCCATATTGCTTTCCCAGATGATCGCCACCGGATTGAAGAGAAACGCAAAAGGACCTACGAGACCTTCAAGAGCATCATGAAGAAAAGTCCTTTTAATGGTGAGATGGGGAGAACCTGAGGGAGAGCACGCTTTAGAATCACTGAGAGGACTCCTGGAGTCTTAAAGCTAACCTAGCTTTTGTCCTGTAGGACCTACTGAACCCCGGCCTCCAGCACGACGTATTGCTGTGCCTTCTCGAAGCTCAACTGTCTCCAAGCCAGGTAAGGAATTTCTTTGTCCTACTTGATTGAGGGTCACCTTTGTTTAGACTGAAGTTGCAGTGTCTTCTGGAAGGGAACTTGAGCAGACATTGGCCTCACCTGCAGAGTTCTGCAGCCTATCGCTTCTCAGGTGTGAGGCCTGGGGCTCTGTCAGGATCATCCAGGGAACAGTGCAGGTATGGATTCTTGGACTCCACACAGACTGATAAACTTAAGGCCTTGGAAGTGTGGCAGTATCCAGCAATTTCCTAAGGGTGTTAATGTCCATGGAAGTATGCAGCCATACTCTAGTTAAACTCTGAGCTAGGTCCAAGCCTCAAGCTAACAGCCTGCGGTTGTCCCAACTGCAGGAGAGTATGCCAGGAGGGTTACGGGTCCAAGGAAGTTCAAGGTGAGCTTGAAGAACCCTGTGTCAAGTTAAAAAGTAAAAGTAGGTCTAGGATATAGCTCAGTGTTAAGAGTGCCTGCCTGGAGCCGGGCGTTGGTGGCGCACGCCTTTAATCCCAGCACTCAGGAGGCAGAGACAGGTGGATCTCTGTGAGTTCGAGGCCAGCCTGGTCTCCAGAGCGAGTGCCAGGATAGGCTCCAAGGCTACACAGAGAAACCCTGTCTTGGAAAAAAAAAAAAAAAAAAAAAAAAGGGCCTGCCTGTCATGCATGAGGCAGGTATTAGATTCAATACCTAGTATCAAGGGGCCAAATAAACCCTGGGTTGGATACCTTGAGATACAAGGGTAGTCTTTTATTTGGAAATGGGTAGTCTCTGCCCTTGGCTCTTGATTGAATTTAGAAAGAAGAAATCATCTCTAAAGTTATAAGTTATGGGGCTGGAGAGATGGTTCAATGATAAAGAGGACTTGGGTTCTATTCTCAGCACCCACAAAGTAGCTCACAATTGTCTGTAACTACACTGCCCTCTTCTGGTTTGCCAGGGTGCTGCAGTCATGTAGTACACATACATAAAAGTGTGCAAAACACTCATACTCACAAGTAAAAATAAGTAGTAGGTTGTGAGTTGTAGTGTGTGGCTCAGAAAAGTGACACATGCTTACCACCAAGCCCATGTCCCATGGGTTTATCCTCTCACTTGGTTTTGCAGCTGTAATGTGAGGAGAACTTGAAAAGGTCAGGGGTGAGAACTTTGTGAACTCCAGTAGTTAGGGAACACTTCAGTGTGATCCTTAGGAGTGGACCCTACAGGCCAGATCAGATTTGTTCCCCTAGAAAGGGGCTGAGTCTAAGCATTAAGAGAGGGCTGAGGGTGGAGGATGGGTATGTATGTCTCTAGTACTTTTTCTGACCCTTCCTCTCTCTTTGTCCTCCAGCCCCCCAGCCCTATACCTTTCCAACATCCCTCAGCACCATCAACTTTGATGAGTTTCCCCCCATGGTGTTACCATCTGGGCAGATCTCAAACCAGGCCTTGGCCTCGGCACCAGTCCTGGCCCAAACCTTGGTCCCCTCCTCTGCCATGGTGCCAGCTCTGGCTCAGCCCCCAGCCCCTGTCTCAGTTCTAGCCCCAGGTCCTCCCCAAGCCCTGGCCCCACCTGTTCCAAAGACCACCCAGGCCGGGGAAGGCACACTGTCTGAAGCCCTGCTACACCTGCAGTTTGATGCTGATGAAGACTTGGGGGCCTTGCTTGGCAACAGCACAGACCCAGGTGTGTTCTCAGACCTGGCATCTGTCGACAACTCAGAGTTTCAGCAACTCCTGAACCAGGGTGTGTCCATGTCTCACCCCACAGCTGAGCCCATGCTCATGGAGTACCCAGAAGCTATAACTCGGCTAGTGACAGGGTCCCAGAGGCCCCCTGACCCAGTTCCCACACCCCTGGGGACCTCGGGCCTTCCCAATGGCCTCTCAGGGGATGAAGACTTCTCCTCCATTGCGGACATGGACTTCTCAGCTCTTCTGAGTCAGATCAGCTCCTAAGGGACTGAAGCTGGCTCTGCTCAGAGCATCAGGTTTCAGGGTATTGAAGCCTTCCCGAAGCACTTACAGATTCTGGGGAGCATGCGCCAACTGCCCCTGACTTCTTTGGGTGGTATCTTCTATGGGTGGCACACCTTATTATTGGCAATATCTCACTCTTTTTGGAGGTGCTTAAGCAGAAGCATTAACTTCTCTGGATGGAGCTGGGAGGACTCAGACTTCTCCCACGGTAATAGTCAGCTCCCTTCTTGGTAGGGAACTCTGGAATCTCTCTTCCACCCTCCAGTTCCAGCCCTCTTCTAGAGAGTGGGGGGCAAGCTGGATCTGTGGCCTAAAGGCCATGACGCCTTATTATCACGTGTCTTCCTCATCATGGGTTCCTGTACACCTTGATCCAAAGCAATGCTCCTAATAGCAGCCCTTACGTATTGCTGCCCAACACCAGCACGAGGGGCTGTTTTTCTCTCCTGTGATGCTCTTGCCCTGCCAGCTCTTTCCATGCCAAGCTGTGGCTGAGGGGAACAGGTGGAATAGCACTGGCCACCTTCAGGATCCTGAGGGAGTTGAGTCTGAGACATCCCTGCTCCCCCTTTTCTCAAGTGCCTTAATAGCAGGGCAAATTGTGTGGAGTCAGAAGGGTGGGCTAGATGCTCAGCCACAAGACAGTCTTCACTGAAAAAAGCTGTTGGACTCTTGCTCTTTCTAACTCTGAACTAATAAATGTGTTACCATGCTGGCAAGAGAGTTGCTGTCTTTTAGCAAACACTGAGCACACCCACTGCTGATCATTTCAGACTGGATGATGGTGAGATAACTGAGTGACTTTGTACTGTCATCTAGAGGTCTGGGGCCTGAGGATGCCCCCTGCAAAGCCTTGGTTCCCATCTGGTAGATGTAATGGCTACTAGGGCGGGGCTCCCACGGCAAATGGCTCAGTAGGATCCAGTAGCTGTGGGGTGGAGTCCCTTCCTGGTGATGGAGATCCCACTTGCTCTAGGCGTTAGGTCAGCAGAGACCATACAGCCTGGTAAGGGAGGTGATAGTGAGACTCCCGGGAAATGAAGAACCATGCACAGCAGTTGGGAGGTTGAGGCAGGATCTCAGGCTGAAACAAAACAGCCACTTTGCATCACTGGTTATCAGTTCAAGGTCATCTCGAGGACTTTCTGAGTTTGACGCCAGCCTGAGTTTCGTGCAGCACTGTCTCAAAACAGCTTGTTCACTACACACCCCCACAAAAGCTGGGCTTGGTGGTGCGTGCCATTGATCACAGCTCCCCAGAGGCAAAGGCAGGAAGATCTGTGAGTTCAGGGCTAGCGATGGCTACAGGAAGACCCTGTTTCAAAATAACAAAAACCTCAAGCCTGCCCCAGAACTTTTGATACCATGTTCTGCGAGGATCTAAAAAATCTTAACGCACAGCCTTAGAAACCTAAACAAAGACTAGGCGATGGCTCATGTGCTGAAGCTGGATATACTTCCGGTTTTATCTTGCGCACGCGTAGCAGCTAATTGTACGGGCCAGAGGGTCACTCTCTTCGGACGCGCAAGCGCTCTGAAGGAACTCGGCGCCGGATGGTATGGCAACGTGCTCGTGGGGAAACCCCTGTGCTGAGAGGTTTTAAGTAAGTGATGGAGGAGCTGCAAAAGTTAGACCCCTGGGAGCCGCAGACTCTTGTTTTGCACGATAGATGGTTTCTGCAGGAGAAGATGCTGAGGAGCAGCAATTATTGGGGAACTGGTCTGTGGTCTCCTAACATAAACGCTGGTGCACACGCTTAAGGGGCGGGCCTGAAGCAAGGGTGTACCACCCAAGAATCTGGCTAAGCGCAACTCTAGCTGAGACAGAGCAGGGTCTGGCGTCGGCTTGGGATCAGAACTTGCCTTAGAGAAGCCGAGAGGCGGGACTGGCGGCGCCCTGCAAGTGGGAAGGGTTGAAATCCAAGGGCACCCTGCTGTGGTGCTTCGTGTAGGTTCTCAGCCTCAGTTTAGGCAGTGCTTTGCGCTTGGCTTCCCCCAGTGTCCTGCAGTAGCCTCCAGTGACCCCCCCCCCAAGCCCTTTTAGTCCTCCCCACATCCCCTGAATGACCTCACCATTCTAATGGCTCATCGTCCCAAATCTTTGTCTCTAGCCCAGACTTCTGTCCCCTGGGTGCTAGCCACTGGACAGTTCTACTCTGACGTCTCTCAAACTCACCCTACACTGAGTGACCGCAGTCATCCCAGGGTGTCCACTTCCTTCTTCCTCTGTCTCGACTATCACCTTCTCAACTACTAGGGGCTCCAGCCAGAAACCTGACCGCCACTGTGGATACCACCTTTTTTCCTTTACCAGCATGCATCCAGTCTTTCACAAGGTCCAGAGAAATCTGCCCACTCCTTGCCATTGTCATCCCTATGTCCTCCCTCCAGGACAGCTGCTACTACGGCTTCTTTCCTCACTAGCCCTCCTGTCGCCAAATAGCTCACACCCACACCTTCCCCACTCTCTTTAAAATCTGTCAACCACAAGGTCGGATCCCAGATCTCTGCAGACACATCTCCAGGGTGACCCGAAGCCTTGACCTTCCTTGGGCACTGCCGCAGGAGGCTGCCCTCTACAATCCCTGGGGTGGCCAGTCTTCACTGTAAACTTGACTGGGTTTCAGACCACCTAGAAGACACGCCTGGCGTGTTTGTGTGGGAATCCCAGAGTTTAACCAAAGGGAGATTATGTATGGCACCATTCTATGGAGTGGGATCCCAGTGACGACTTACAAGGAAAGGAGAAAGTACTTTAGTTTCTCTCTCTGCTTCCTGACTGGATACAATGTATCTACTCCCAATTCACAATTTTTCCACCAACATGGACTTAATCCCCTCACACTAGAGCCAAAAATAACCCCTTCTTCCTTAAGTGGTTTTTGTCCCCTATTGAATCACAGTAATGAGGAAATTGGTCCCCCACCAGTAAAGGCGAGGCCACATGCAGAGACTGCTGGTCCGGGATCGCTAGTGCACCTCTCATAACCCTTTCTGATCCAGCCTCTCTAACTCAGGGTTCCTTCATGTGCCCCCATTTCAGCCCAGTGGGCCCTAGCCTGGTCCTTCTGGAATAACTCTGACATCTGCTGGTGAACTTAATTTTCACAATGCAGTCCTCACATTGCCTCCTCCAAGAAGCCTTCGTTATGCTCCTGCATCCACTTTCTTACTCATCCTAGCTTACCCTGCCAGAGTGTGAATAAGCAGAGCACCCCCTGGGTCGGGTCTGATGAGGCACAGGCCTCCTCTGGCCCAGCAGAAGCCGAGTGTTAAGACAAAGTCCAAGTTTGGACAGAGGATGCCCCTAAGAGGAAAGGCCCAGCCTGGTGAGGAACGGTAGGTGTCATGGCCAGTGAGAGAGAAGTGGATTGAGGGTCACTATTTTCTGGGATACAAAGAGGAGCTGCCACCTCTGGAACTGGGGCCTACAAGAGGTGGTCAGGTGGCAGAGTCACTGATGGATGCTCTTTGGCTCCATGTGTGCTCTGTACACACGGCTAGACGCCATCCCTGCTTGTGGAGTGTGGCCACCTGCTTCCTAAGAGAACCCAATAAATGAAGAGAAGGGGTATCCTACCCTCAGAGCCCCCCTCTGCCTGGTGCCAGGCCAGACCAGCCCTAAACCAATGTTCCTGGGACCTGTCCTTACTGGTCCTAGGAGCTTGATGTGGCCTTGGAGACAACTCCCTACTCATATACACTGAGCACACAAACACAAACAGGTTTTGTTTTTAAACATGTCTCCTTTTCTTTACAGAATATTTACAAACAGGGACAGGTAAGGGCACCTTAGCCACCAAATGGGCTGGGAAGTTGGGGGCAGTGCTAAGACAGCCTCAGTGCAAGAAAGAAGCCCTGAGGAAGGTCACGGTGTGACCCAGGTGGTCACTGTGTGACCCAGGAGCCCTGAAGGGCCAGGCAGTTCCAAGCAGGTCCGAAATCAGAGGAGAGAATGAGGTGAACTTTAGGCCAGGTCAGAAGTCGGTGAAGCCAGCTGCCTGGAGGCCAGGAGCAGTCGGGTGGCAGCACTTTCAGACTCTGCCAGCAGCCGCTGGTTGTTGTGCCTGAGGTTCCGCACCTCCTCCTCCAAGGCTGCCCTGTCTGCCTTCTCCTAGGGTGAGGAACAGTAGTCAGAGTCCTTTCCTGGGGAGCACCCCTGTGCTTCAGTGTCAACCCCAGACCCTCTTCTCACCCTCTGCAGGTCCTCCTGGAGCTTCTTGAGCATGGACTCTAGGTGAGAGACCTTTTCTGACAGGCTCCCAGGTTCTGGCCTGAGGACATGGGGTCAGAGTTCAACAAGAATAGCACCATAGGCTGCCTCCCAGACCCCCCCCATAACTCTAACTCTACCTTCTGAGACTAGCACAGCCTAGAAAACATTTGACTCCAGAGGGGAGGCAGAGAAGGACACACACACACACACACACACACACACACACACACACA